AAAATTTGGAGGGGGTGGTTGGGGGAATGTGAGGGTGAACTCTGCCATGAAAGTTAAGTCCAGCAGATCTGGAATCCATCTTAGATAAAATATCTGTATATCACTAGCCACTGGTTAAGGAATAAAACATAGTGACTAGTAGAGGTGCTTTGTAGCCATGAGTCCAAGATGTTTGGGAGCAAGTTTTAATAGCTTGTCAGCAGTGTTTATTGAGGGTTATAATGCTTTCTCTGTAGACTTCTTACCTGATAGTGAAATTATATCTAAACAAGACTTACACAAGAAAAGTGGAGCTCATGCCAGGTGTTTATCCAGACTCCTTACTGAAAGGCAGCCTTTGGTTGTGATGTAGACATTTACTTTAATGGTGCCACTGTATTGTACCCTTTTTTAAAATCAGTTGTAGATATTTACACAATGTCATTTTGACCTTTGTGAGCCTTCCTGACTCCTGTTTAATTGCCACTGTTAGCTCCAGATTTTCTTAAAAATGGCAAATTCTGTAGTTTTAGGCCTTGTGGCCAGTTCTCAGGGTATATCCTGTTTCTCTTTCTCATGAGTTACCTGTCTATAAGGAATTATAATCCAGTTCAGTTATTTTTTCATATTCAGTTTATTCAGTGCTCTCTTTTGTTCCTTCCCTTATCTGAGTTAGTAGCGTTCTTAGTGTGCTTGTGGTTTCTGATCTATTTCTCTTGGGTTCATCAGCACACTGATCTGTAATAATCTCCTCCAGTTTTTAGTCTAACAATAGGTGCTTATTTTAACAGGGAAATGATTATATTCTACCTGTTTGGTTATTTTCTTCTATCAGAAACTATGTGCCTCTGCTTTGAGAACATCATGCTGTTGATCAACAGAAATCTTTTCCACATGTACTCCAAGGTATATCGTTCTCTCCTATAGAAATGTTGCTTTTGTTAAGTTTTCTATTAAACTTTCATCTACACTTATGTCAGGCAATGATATACATAGTATGTGTGTAATACCATATGCTCATGTATTCGCTCATGTATTCTTTTTTTATATTAAAGATGTGGGGTACAATTCAGGATTAGGTATACAAGTGGTCATCATATAAGTAAGGTTTGGGCCTCCCTTTGGCCCCCACTTTCCCCAGTTTGAGATCAGGTGCCCTTGTTGATGTTGGCCCACCCCCACCCCGGCAGTATCCCGCTATATTATAATCTCTTTCTTATATTATTATGGTAAATGTTCAGGGTCCACTTATGAGTGAGAACATGTGGTAATCAGTTCTTTGTTTCTGTGATAAATCATTGAGTGTGATAGACTCTAAAACCATCCTTGTTGCTGCGAAGTTCAAATGTTTGTCCTTCTTTATGGCTGTGTAATTTTCCATTGTGTGTATGTACAATTTTTTTTAGCCGATTCACTTTTGATGGGCAGCATGGTTGGTTTCATGTTTTTACTATTGCGAGCAGTGCTGCAATAAACATGTGTGGGCAGGTATCTTTTTTGTAGAATGATTTGAGTCCCTTCAGGTATATTTTCAAAGGGGGATTTCTGGGTCATATGGAAGGTCAATTATTAGTTCTTTCAGAAATTGCCACACTGTTTTTCAAAGAAGTTCCACCAGTTTGCATTCCTACCAGCAGTGTAGAAGCATTGCTTTTTCCCCACATCACTGCCAGCATCTGTTGTTCCTTGTTTTATTAATGATGACCATTCTTACTGGAGTTTGATGATATCTCAATGTGATTTTGATTTGCATTTCTCTGATGATTAGTGAGGCTGAGCACTTTTTCAAGTGTCTGATGCCTACCTGTATATCTTCTTTTGAGAAGTGTCTATTTATGTCTTTTGTCCACTTTTTAATGGTGCTGTTTGTCCATATATTCTTGATTCACTAATAAGTCTCTTACATCTCTACAATTTTTCCATACTTTAGCTATTAAGCTATTATCTAAGAGTGGCCATTTTCTATGTTTATTTCATAATGATTGTCAACTCCCTATGCCTGTATGATGCCTAAATTTAACTTATTTTCTAATGCTAACACATATTTTCTTTAAATCTGTTATTAGCATCATATATTTTGCCAACACTTAAAAAAATCTCTGGACAAGATTTAGGCATCTTGCTTTCAAGTCTGACTTATTTCTCTTATCATAAATTTCTTAGTGATCATAGCTGATCATTCTTTTTTCCTGATGTTATTATTTTAGTTATTTAATCCCCAGTGTGGATTGGTTCATGAAATACAGACAAACTTTATTTCTCTTCTTTTATTATTCAAAGTCCAAAGAGCATTACTCCAGGGATTAAGAAGCATAGAATTATGCACCACTCTCATGGAGATATGCTCAGATAAATAAAAGCTACATAAAATGAATCCTGGGGGGGCAAAGACAAGGACAGTGATTCATTCCTAATACAGTGAACACCAAATACACACACACACACACACACACACACACACACACACACACACACACACAACTGAATCAGCTTGAGGCTATTTCTGAATTCTGAGTGTTATAATTGTTAAACTATCCACATTCACACTGTTGCCAATGTTAAAATCAGAAACATAAAAGAAATTACAATCTTATTTTATGGACAGTTGGATAGACTAATCATTTATAAAAGAAATATTTACCACATAGCAGGAATGGTGCTTGCTACACAAATCCCTTTTGAGAGCTAACACAGGAGAAGATTTTTCCGGTTGGCAAGTCCACATCAATAGGTAGGGCCAAACAGTGGCAGAAAAGCAAGCTGAGTGGTTATTTTTGGGAGTTCACAAGAGGGAGGAATGATGAAGGAGCTAGTCCGGGACTAACAAATAGCCCAGGTAGTTTTTAACTTCTTTAGGCACTTATATCTGGCTCTTAATACCAGTTTCTAGATGTCCTTTACTGGACCAAACTGCCATTACCAGAGGCTTTAATTTGATGGAATCCCTAATTTCAGTGCCTGGTAGCCTATGAAAATGGATCTGCTAAGGAAATGTCCACAGTCTATGGTTATGCATACTTATCTTCAAGAAGCTCCAACCTAGAATGTTACATTTCCCCCAAGGAGCCAGCAGTTAGATACTGGGTTATCACCAACCTAGTACTATCAGTAAGGCACATAATGGGCAAAATAGGCTTTTGTGCACTTACCCACTGTTTGCAACACCATTTCTGGAAAAAGTAGAGAATTCCAAACAGTCAATTAATGTCATATCATACAATCCATTTCTAAACTGGCGACAGCTTGTATAAGCTTCCCATTGCATATACAGCAATTTGTCATATGAATAAGATGATAAATAGAGAGAAGTAACTTTAGTCAAAAAATTCTAGCAAATACCATCTCAATTAGGTAATCAAGGTTAGTATCAGTGACCATTCATTCTGACAACAGCACATACACCATACTCTTAACAGGGTGAGAATGACATTTACTGCTGTATAATCTTTCTGCTAAGAACTTATTGACATTAGACTTCTTAAAAAAATGTATTAGACAAATCACAACTGAGAGATATTCTTCAAAATACTTGACAAGAACTCCTCAACTTATTAAGATAATCAAAAACATGGGAGATCAGAGAAATCACCACACACCAGTGGAGGTTAAGGAGACATGACAGATAAATTCAATATGGTATCCTGAATGAAACTGTAGGGGTGCAAAGGGTGTAGAGTTGCTTTTCAGCTCTCACTTCCCTTTCAGCACTGAGTAATAAGATCAAGTTGCATCAAGGTGTCAGTGATGAAGAAGGAGAAAAGAGATTCCATAGCTGCTGGCAACTTTTGGCTAAGAGCAACAATCCAGTCTATCATGTGTCAGCCATAATGGTATGATTCAACCCTCATCCAACGATGGCCTCTTACTTCTGGCTTTTGTCTTTGGCCGTGATGTCACTAAACTAACTGATAACAACTTAGTGTCAAACAAATACCTAATTTCCAATTAATGCTAATGATACAATTTTTCCTATCATTATCCCTTCATACAATATAAGGGATAGGGACTTGATAAATTTTTCTCAGGGATTCAACTGATTTACTGTCCTCATGCTGAACCTATCAGATCAATTTCAGGGTTGAAATTTTTAGTGACTCAGGTTTTAAATGTGACTGTTTATTCTCTTCTCTGTACTGAGGAAACCATGTAGACTAAAATGATGCCAGCTTCACCAAGTGTTTTCTTGACTAAGACTGTACTAACTTTTGCTTTACCAAAAGTGAGTCTGCATTCTAGTATGAGTGCTGTGCTCTTGTCATGAAGTAACCTTTTCATTCCAACTCCAAAACCTGCTGTCTTAGATTGGGCAGGAACACCAGTAACTTGGAAAGCACAGTGCAAGCAGGCATCATGATACTGGAAAACAAGATCCTAGGCAAGATCCTGAGGCAGTACACATTCAAGGGCTTGAGGAGATGACTTGTTTTATAAACATTCAGTGCAAAATGAATCACTAGAGCAGGATAAACTTAATGTCCTCTATACCCTTCCCCCCCAAAGCATGCAAGAATCAATATCACTATCACCACATTCAGTACACACACACACACACACACACACACAGAAGAATGCTTGGGAAATCTCAGGGATATCAAAGGTCCTACAAAAACAGGGCAAGACATATTCAGACATAACAGGCAGACCAAAATCTAGCAGCAAGTTGAAGGAAACTAAAAGAGGGCACAGTTGCCCAGAAAAGTAAGTAGACATGCCAAGAGCAGGTTTGGCTCCCACTCAAATTCACCAGTAATAAGTCATGTTTACAGACTCATACAGACTTTCACATCACTCAGTGACTTTTCATAAATACTTATTGGTGCTATCCATAGAATTTAAGCTATTCCTCTATTTAAAAAACTTCACATTCTACAGTGAGTTTGTCTATAGGCATTTTCTTATGTTTTTTATAAAATTTTTGATACTACATACAAACAGAAGTTTTTGTTGGTGAAGATTTTATTTTCTTCAATTCTGAAACTGACACAATTCCTCAGGAAAGAAATTGCTAAAAACAAATTCAATATTTGATAAAAATTATTTATTCAAAATATAAAATTTTATCCTAATTATTTGAATGTTTAATACAATTAATTTTGTTGTGAAGGCTTTTGTGTTTTTCCCTGAAATGTCTCTGACTTTAAGGAAGGCTTCTGATTATTCAGGATGTTGACAATTTTCTTCTTCATGTGAAGTCTCTGATATACAGTAAAACTGAATTATTACACTTCTTCTGAAATGTATTATGGTAATAGGATTTCATCCTAGTCTAATAGAGAGACAACAAAACAATGCATTTAACTAATAGGTCAAATCTGAGAACTCAGTGGAAAACAAACTTAATTCTTGCTTGAAAAACAAGCAACTGATGAAGATGTGGAAGCAGAGAATTATAATCCAAACAGTTATTCAGACTCTAGCTTCTTTTAACCTTGTGCTCCACTACATTCAACACACAAAAGCCAACTTGCTGTGGAAATCATCTCAATCCCAGCTTACCATGGACCAGGAAGACTGTAAGATGTTTAGGGGCCAGGACTAAATGTAATATTTATCATTAGCATCATATTCTTTGGTCAGCCCACCTGGTGAATGAGATTGGGATTTTCAACAAGCTACGAGCCTAGTGGAAATGGAAAATGTTAAGGAAAACAATTTTCCAGTCTACATGACAAGAGTTTCTCCGCTGTGTGGTATAAAATAAGGTATGAGTTAATTCAGGATTTCTCAAATTCATGATGTGTTAGGGTTTTCTCTCTGATATGCATTCTAGTACGCATTGTTCGTAAGAGCTGCCTTATGAAAAAAAATTTTCCCACGTTCACCACATTCATGGGGTTTCTCCCCTGTGTGAATTCTCTGGTGTACTCTGAGACTTGAAAAGTGGGCAAAACCTTTCCCACATTCATTACACTCATAGGATTTCTCCGGTGTGAGTCCTCTGGTCAGCACTAATGTCTGACATCTGGGAGAACATTTTCCCACATTCATAAATTCATAGGGTTTCTGCCCTGTGAGAGTTCTCTGGTGTGCACTAAGGTGTGACTTCCGGGAAAAAGTTTGCCCATATTCATTACGACCATAGGATTTCACACCTGTGTGAATTCTCTGATGCATTCTAAGGGATGAGTTAATGGCAAATGGTTTCCCACGTATATTACATTCTTAGGATTTCTCTGCTGTGTGAACTCCCTGATGTGCACAAACATATGACTTTCTGGAGTATGTTTTTCCACATTCATTACATTCATAGGGTTTCTCCCCTGTGTGAGTCCTCTGGTGTGTACTAAGGTGTGACTTCCGGGCGAAAGTTTTCCCACATTCATCACATCCATAGGATTTCACACCTGTGTGAATTCTCTGATGCACTTTAAGGGATGAGTTAAGGGCAAATGGTTTCCCACATATATTACATTCATAGGGTTTCTCCCCTGTGTGAGTCCTCTGGTGTGCACTAAGGTTTGCCTTCTGGGAGAAAGTTTTCTCACATGCATTACATTTATAGGGTTTCTCCCCTGTGTGAGTCCTCTGGTGTACCCTAAGTTGTGACTTCTGGTAGAAAGTTTTCCCACATTCATTACAACCATAGGATTTCATACCTGTGTGCATTCTCTGATGCATTCTAAGGGATGAGTCAAAGGCAAATGATTTTCCACAAATATTACATTCATAGGGTTTCTCCCCTGTGTGAACTCTCTGATGTGCACTAACATATGACTTACCAGAGAAAGTTTTCCCACATTCATTACATTCATAGGGTTTCTCCCCTGTGTGAGTCCTCTGGTGTGTACTAAGGTGTGACTTCTGGGAAAAAGTTTTCCCACATTTATTACATTCATAAGGATTCTGTCCTGTGTGAGTCCTTTGGTGTGTACTAAGGTGTGACTTCTGGGAGAAAGTTTTCCCACATTCATTACAACTATACGATTTCACACCTGTGTGAATTCTCTGATGCACTCTAAGGGATGTGTTAAGGGCAAATGGTTTCCCACATATATTACACTCATAGGGTTTCTCCCTTGTGTGAACTCTCTGATGTGCACTAACATGTGACTTCTCAGTGAAAGTTTTTCCACATTCATTACATTCATAGGGTTTCTCCCCTGTGTGAATTTTCTGATGTGCTCTAAGCACTGAATTACGGGTAAAAGTTTTCTCACATTCATTACACTCATAAGGTTTCTCCCCTGTGTGAATCCTCTGATGTACTCTGAGGGCTGTATTATGGGTAAAAGTTTTCTCACAGTCACTACATTCATAGGGCTTACCTGTGTGAATTCTCCGATGTGCTATTAGACCTGAACTGAAGGTAAAAGATCGCCCACATTCATTACAGTCATAGGGTTTCTCACCTGTATGAATTCTTTGATGTGCTTTGAGAACAGAAATACAAGCAAAAGACCTTCCACATTCTTTACATTCATAAGGTTTCTCCCTTGTGTGAATTCTCTGATGTGCTCTGAGGGCTGAATTATGGGCAAAAGTTTTCTCACAGTCAGCACATACATAGGGTTTCTCACCTGTGTGAATTCTCTGATGTGCTCTTAGACCTGAACTGAAGGTAAAAGATCGCCCACATTCATTACAGTCATAGGGTTTCTCACCTGTATGAATTCTTTGATGTGCTTTGAGAACAGAAATATGAGCAAAAGACCTTCCACATTCTTTACATTCATAAGGTTTCTCCCTTGTGTGAATTCTCTGATGTGCTCTGAGGGCTGAATCTTGGGCAAAAGTTTTCTCACAGTCAGCACATACATAGGGTTTCTCACCTGTGTGAATTCTCTGATGTACTTTTAGGGCTGAATTACAGGTAAAAGATTTTCCACATTCAGTACATTCATAGGGTTTCTCACCTGTGTGAATTCTCTGATGTGTTTTTAGGGCTGAATTACAGGTAAAAGATTTTCCACATTCAGTACAATCATAGGGTTTCTCTCCTGTGTGGATTCTCTGATGTGCACTGAGGTGTGTCTTGTGAGAGAAAGTTTTCTCACATTCAATACATTCATAGGGTTTATCACCTGTGTGAATTCTCTGATGTGCTCTGAGATGTGATGATGTGAAGAAAGTTTTCCCACACTCAATACATTCATAAGGTTTCTCCTCAATGGGAATTCTCCAATGTTCTTTGAGACATGCCATCTTGAAGAATGTTTTCCCACATTCACTGCCTTCACAGAGATTCATCTTTGTTTCTGTTTTCTGATGTCCTACAAGGGGTGACCTGTAAGATTTCCCACAGTCATTGTTACCATAAGTTTTGTCCTTTGTGTGAATTCTAACATGTTCACTAAGGTTTGACTTCTGACAGAAAGGTTTCCCATATTCATTACATTCATAAAGTCTGAATCCCACATAAGCTCCAGAATGCTGAATAGAGTGTGAACTTGTACAAGAGGATTTCCCACATTCTTCATATTGAAGTTTCTCCCCTGAATGAGTCCTCTGATACTGAATGAGGTATGCTTTCTGTTCTTCTTTACTCAATGTTTTATCATTGTCATCAATGAATATTACTTGACACAGAGACTTCTTTTGTTTTTCCTGAATCTCTTGTATGTTGTCATCAATTTTATAATATCCTAAAATGAAAAAAATTAAAAATATATTATAAATCTTACACTTTTCATGGAGAGGGACTTGTACCCATGTTTTGTTATGTATTTTATTCTATTTTTTTCTGGTCATGTTTCCAAAGACAAGAATGCACACAAATACTCTTTCTTGTTCCTCATCCATAATGTTTAAAGAAATAGGTATTATTTTCACCCAAAATGGAATAGGCCCTTTCCTCCCAGATCTTCCTTCTTACAATTAAAAATCCTTGCAAGAAAAAAAACATGAACAAACACACAAAGACTCTACAAAATAGAAAAATGTGAACCTCAGGACTTAAGAAATGACACAGCAGAGGATTCTAAAGTTTTTCTTTCTGCTTCCCATATATCCTAAACAGAGTGCTGAAGAAACCTACAAACTGGAGCCAGCAACAAAAAGAACTCCAAAAAAACAGGCTGTTTCTTCTAGCCAAAAGTAATTTTACAGAACCAAAAACATGTTTGACATCATCCACATACTCACGCCAAACAAAAAAGGAATGCTTCTGTGGTTCCATGAAGGCTGACCAAGAAGCTAACCTTCCACTACAACGGAAACAGATGATCTGTGTACTCCTGTAATATTTCCCTCCATGAGCCAAATGGGGAGCTCATAGGAAAGATCATAAAGGATCCTGAGAAAGTTACAGTTTTGATATGCTGGAAGATGTAACAGGAGCTGCTGCCAAAATTCTGCCTATAAATATATTATTATCAGCCAAGTTTAGTAGCTTAGCCTATAATCCCAGCACTTTGGGAGGCCGAGGCAAGTGGATTGCCTGAGCCCGCGGGTTCGAGACTAGCCCAGGCAACTTGGTGAGACCTCATTCTACAATAAATAAAAAATTAGTTGGGCATGGTAGCACCTGTAGTTTCGGCTACTTGGAAAGCTAAGGTGGAAGGATTGCCAGAGCCTAGTAGGTCAACACTGGGGTGGCCTGGATGACTGACTGATGCTCCAACTCAAAAAAAAAAAAAAAGAAATATATTTTTATGTAATTTATGGAACAAATATATTATCTGCAAGGGCAAGAACAATAAATCTGCTGTTTTAGGGCACTAGCAGGCACTCATAGCAGCTAGATGAAGAAAAGCAGCACAGAAACATGAGAAGAGGCAGGAATACCTGGTAGGCCTAACTATAGGGAGAAGAGATAAAGTAGCACTTGTGATAACCACATCTTCAAACTCAAGGACACAGTGCTTTCAACAACAGTTAAACTCACATTTTATCAAATGCACATGGAACGTACAGCAAAATAGAATGCATTCTTCACTGTTAGACAAATCTTCACAAATACAGAAGAACAGAAATCATACAAAAGACATTCTTGAGCTACAGAGAAGCTATACTAGAAATTAATAAACATTTTTTTACTTGGAGATATACAAAATATTTATAAATGATATTCTTCTAATAAGATATTTTGAAGTGTATGAAAACAACACAAAAATACAGAAATTCCTGAATGTAACTAAAGCAGTGCTCAGACATAAATTTGTGGTTTAAAATTTTTATATTTGAAAAGAAAGATCTGCAGATACTTAAGTTCCCACTTTAAGAAACTAGACAAAGAGAGACAATTAAATCTAAAGAAAGTAATGGAAGAAAAACAGAAAGTATTAAATAATAAAACTGAAAATAGAAAACAGCATGGAAGCCGGGCTCGGTGGCTCAGCCTGTAATCCCGCACCTTTGGGAGGCTGAGGTGAGTGGATTGCCTGAGCCTGCGGGTTCGAGACCCGCCTGGGCAGCGAGACCTCATCTCTACAATAAATCAAAAAAAATCAGCGGGGCGTGGTGGTGCATGCCTGTAATTCCGGCTACTCGGAAGGCTGAGGCGGAAGGATCGCCGGAGCCCAGCAGGTCGAGGCAGCGGTGGCCGGGAGCGGCCACTGCACTCCAGTCTGGGCGACAGAGTGAGACTCCGTCTCAAAAAAAAAAAAAAAAAAGAAAACAGCATGGAAAATCAAACCAAAGCTTATTTTAAAAGATTTTTTTCAATGATAAGCAGAAAAGAAAATAAGTCACAAATTATCAACATCAGAAATGCAAGAGGGGAAATTATTGACACACCAGACATTCAACAGATAATAAAACAACACGGGTGACTATAACAAATTAAGGTGGCGTAAAGAACAAATATTTATTTTTCTCAGTTCTAGAGGCTGGAAGTCTCAGAATAGGGTGCCAACACAGTTGCATTCTTGTGAGTGACCTCTTTGGGTTATAGACTATTCTTGTAATAGCCTCACATGCTGGAAAGTAAGGTAGCTAGCTGTGGTATCTTCTTGTGAGATCTATCTTTTTTTTTAACCAAAAAAGCAAATAACTGTATTTGAACACTCTAGAAAGAGGTGGTAGGAGAATATGGACTGTAAGCAGAGGGCGTTTTTTGGATTCTTAGATCTTTATTCCTTTGTTTTAGAAAACTGATATCATATTATTTGGTTCAGTAATTCAAATCCTCAAATGTTTTCTTTTACCTGTGATCTCAGGCTAGACTTTAATCCACTTATTATCTGAATTCAAACCTGAATGATAACAGAACATGAAATCTAAATTATTTTACTTTTATTGACTGAAAACTTTACCATTCCTTTTTAACAATTTTTATAAGTTTTCTATTTAGAGACAGCTTATTTAGCCAGTCAATATGCTCTAATCATTTACATATAGTGATTGGGAGGTACGCTTCATCTAAATTATGTCAATCTTTATGTAATGCCATTTGTTAACATGGCTCACAACAAAAACTTTCAGTAAGTGTACATCACTTCTAATAATTAAGATAATTTTACTTTTTCTTCTAGGAATTATATTGAAAACTATAACTTTTTAAAATTTCTGGAAGCATTTATTAGTATAGACAAAGGCTAAGATGCATATGAAAAGATGTTTCACATCATTAGTGACAAAGAAACTGTTATGGACTGTGTCCCATCCCCAAATCCATATGTTGAAGAACTAATCTCCAGTAATACTGTATTTGGAGACAAGGCCTGTAGGAGGTAATCCAGGTTAAAAGGAGGGTATAAGGATGAAGCATTTATCCAGTAGCAAAGAAGTCCTTGCAAGAAAGGGAAAAAACACCAGAGTGCTCTCTCTCTCCCCCAGTGGGTATGCACAGGGGAAAGGTCAGGTGAGAATACAGCAAGAAAGGTGGCTTTCTGCAAGCCAGGAAAGAGAGGCCTCACCAGAAACCAACTTACTAGCATCCTGATCTTGGACTTTCAGCCTCCAGAACTGAAAGAATTTCTGTTGTTTAATCCACTCAGTCTGTGGTATTTTATTATTACAGGCCTAGCTGCCTAATAAAGAAAAAGAAATCAAAATCACAAGGAAATGCCACTTCACATTCACCAGGATGGCTGAAATCAAACAAATGTTGGTAAGAATATGGAAAAATCAGAATCCCTATGGGCTGTTGTTAGGAATGGAAAATAATGATGTCATTTAGGAAAACAGCCTGGCAGTTCCTTAATCAGATGAACGGAGGTACCACATGACCCAGAATTTCTTGCCTAGGCATAAAAACATATGTCCATGCAAAAACTTGTAAGTGAATGTTTATATCAGCATTATCCATAATAGCCAAAAGAGGTACTCCAAGTATCTACTCACTGATGAATGGAAACACAGGCAGTATATCCAAACAATGAAATAGTATCTGGCCATAAAAAGGATGAAACACTGATATATGATATAACATGAACCTTTTAACATTAAGTTAAGCAAAGAAGCCAATCACCAATGATCACATATTAAATGATTCCATTTATAAAAAAATGTCCAGAATGGGCAGATCTGTAGAGACACAAGTAGATTAATGTCTACTTAGAGCTGGAGGAGTCAGGGATATAAAAGAGTGACAACTAAAGGGTATAGATTTCTTTTTGAGGTGATGACGTTTGTACATAGAGTCATCTCAGGGAGGATTGGATCTACAACTACTATGAATACCAAACTCTATGGATGCCCAAGTTCTTGATATAAAATGGCACAGCATTTACATATAACCTATCCTCTGGTATATTTTAAATCATCTCCATATTACTTATACTAGCCTCATAAAACAGAGACAGTAGACAATTATATACTATATTGTTTGGGGAATGATGACAAAAAAGTCTGTTCATTTTCAGTAGAGATGCATTTTTAAAAAATAGTTTCAATCTATAATTGCTGGAATCCACGGATGCAGAACCCATGGATACAGAGAGCAGACTGTATCTATAAACACATTAAAAGTCATTGAACTATAGACTTTGAATAAATTGTATGAGATGTGAATTATACCTCAATAAAGCTGTTGCCCCCCCAAAAGAAAAAACAAATTAAGGTGCTCTTCCACTAAGATCTAACTTTCTCAAGGCTCCTTCTGTCAGCACTCACTCACCTGGGTACTTCCGGTTTAGGAATTTGACTTCTAGGGACCATGGTTCTTCTCCTTGCTCCAACATGTGGATAACCTTGGGTTTGGTAATGCAGCACCCTGTAATGAAATAATTGAGGGTATAAATGGACCAGATCCATGAGCACTTGGATGGAAAAAGATGCAGCTATAAAAGCATTAACTGGGAATATTCTTCTGATGTTTTCATAGGGAAGATAATGACAAAAACTGTTTTTCTTTCTGTAAAGGCTTCAATTATGAAGCCTTTCATCTCTATAAAGAATCTATGTGTCTTGACAATTTAAAAAAAAAAACAAACATTCTGCAGAAGGAGTCCCACGGCAGGTTCGCTCACCCACTGCGACAAGGTGGCCGTAATTTTCCAGCATCACGTCCCTGTATAGGCTCCGCTCCCCGGGGCCCATCTGCCGCCACTCCTCCCAGGTGAGCTCCATGGTCACGTCCTCGAATGACACGGATCCCTTCAGCAATATATTTTTTTCAAGGTCTTAGAATTAGGTGACACAGAAAATACCTGAGAACTTTTCCTGTTTACTCTTGAGGGTCAAAAACAGTTGGTTATACAGGCTTATATTGGACCAAATTTCATCTTAAAACTTGTCACTAAGCTAGTTTAAAAGGTTTCTAATTTACCATACCACATCTATATACATTTATGAATTCCAGATATTTTTAGACAGAAAAATTCAATGTAATTAAACCTTGTACAACTCTTCCTACACATTCCCAGGATGATCATATTCTCTAGGAAGTTCATATCCTCCTTGAACATCATCCCTGTAAATACCGGGAGCCAAGGAAGAAAGACATGTGAGCACTAGAGAGATACCTGACCAAACTTGTGTATAAGTAAATATATGAAAATACAGAAATCTAGGGCTCATGATGAATAAGGAACAGCTTACAAAGAAGTTGGAACCAATGAGACCATAGTAAGAAAACACTATGTACACTGAAATAACAGCAATCAACATAAGAATAGGATATAATCACAGAGCAGAAGCAGCAACCATCTGATGATTATTGCTTGAGGTAGCAACCTAGTCTAGCTGTGTGAGAAGCCCCTCTCTCTGTCTTTTTGTTTTATTTTGTTTCTAATTGACACAAAGACAAATCATTCAAATAAGATCTCAGTTATACATGGAATCTAAGACAGTAAAATGCATAGAAGTAAAGAAAGAATAGAATGGTGGTTACCCAAGTCTGGGGGAGAGGGGGAACGGAATAGGAAATGTTGGTCAAAAGATACAAACATTCCATCAGACAAGAAGAACAAGTTTTCAAGATACTGCACAGCATGGTGACTCTAGTTAATAATAATATAATGTATGTTTCAAAATAATCAGCTTTTTGATGGGGCCAAAAACTGACAACTGAGAAACAAAAGGAAAAACGTGTGAGATGTTTGAGTGAGAGATCTGTTCAGGTTGCTACAAAGGGGTGTGTGAGACATAAAGCTGGAACTGCCCTTTAAACCAATATACACGATTTCAGAGCACAGAAGGCAAGTCTAGGATGAAGACAAACACTTAGGAGTCATTAGCACTCTAGCTGGTAACTGAAGTTATTAGAGACAATCAGACAGCTCCTTGAGCACATTGGGATTGAGGAAAAAGTACCAAAACAAAAACACTTGAGGACCACACATATTAAAGAGGCTGGCAGAAGATGTACAGGAAAGAAGTCAGAGAAGAAGGTTTCTGAAAAAACATTAACAGAATCCAGAGGATAAAGTCTTAGAAATTTAAAAAAGGGAAAGTTTCTATATCAAAAGACCTCAAATTCAAGCTAAGTGATGTCAGCAAAAATACTGAAGTTGAGAAAATTCTCTCTTCCATAAAAGTAATGAGAAACTGGCAACAATTACAGAATCAACTTTTTCTGCAAGCTAATCAAAGGCTTCAAGCAATCTATATAAGAATATTTATAACAAATAATGTATACATTATGCCTGTAATCCCAGAGGACTGCCTGACCCCAGGGGTTCGAGAACAGCCCGAGCAACTTGGCAAAACCTCGTCTCACAATAAACCAGAAGATTAGCTAGGTGTGGTGGCACACACTGTAGTTTCAGCTACTAGGAAGGCTAAGATGGAAGGATATTCTGAGCCCAGCAGATTGAGGCTGCAGTAGCCATATCACACCAGCATGGATGACACAGTGAGATTTTAATTGAAAAAAATATTTGAAAATGTTTTTTAAAAAGGCTGCAACAGTAGGAGAACCATAGTTCTGCATCATTTTAACTTGTTCTATTTTCATCCATCTCTCTCCAGTTCTACGTTAGCTTTCAGAACAATCATCTGAGATAAGAGGAAAAACCAGCAGCCTGGCAATCACTGGAGGAAGCAAAAGTGGGTTGGAACTATCAAAGGCCTGTTCCCAGAAAACTGTCATCATTTGAGTTAATATGATGGTTCCTTTGAAGACCTCACTTGCAAGGCTGACTACTGAACTAACTCAAGAGTTTTCACCCAGGATGAAAAACCTGTGCTCCAAGGCATTAGTCAAAAACATTCAAAGGCAATTTTAACTTACCTGCTACCTGGGGTGGTGGATAAAGAGTTGGGATAAGTAATCACCTAATAAAAAGCTTTATTTAAAGGACAAGGTAGAGGATAAAATGTCCATTAAGGTTTTGAAAAACTCTGATATATTCCTGAGAATTGAGAAGCTCACCTATATGCACTGAGCTGAGAATATGCCCAGGACTGTGATATGCTCAGGAAGAACATGAGAAGGCTCTAAGCTGTCACTTCTGAGTGACCTTAAGGTTTGGAGAAAGCAGGAAGTGAAGACTAATAAAGAGTTGTAAATGACCTGGATGACTGCTGGAGAAATGCCACAGCATTCACAAGGCCCCCTGGAAAAGACTGAGACACTTGCTTGGTTTCAGGCACTTAAGGAAATTTCTGCAGTCTTCAGCTGCCACACACAACAAACACAGGCACTACTGAATTAGTTTTAAAAAGTAACTGGAAAGGCCAGGCATAGTGGCTCATGCCTATAATCCCAGCACTTTGGGAGGCGGAGGTAAGAGGATTGTCTGAGCCCAGGGTTTCAAGACCAGTCTGGACAATATAGCAAGACCTTGTTTCTACAATAAATAAAAAAAATAAGCCGGGCATGGAGGCATGTACCGGTGGTGCCAGCTACTTGGAAGGCTGCAGCGGAAGGATCGCCTGAGCCCAGCAGATGGAGACTGCGGTGGCAGTGAACATGCCACCTCACTCCAGCCTGGCTAACAGAATGAGACTCCAACTCAAAAAAAAGTTCACTGGACAACTTTCAACAAAAACCCCTGGGAGGAGAGAAATTCTTCTACAGTTGCCATATTTTATTAAAATGTCCTGTTTTCAACAACAAAAATTACAAAACAAGGCCGGGCACAGTGGCTCAGCCTGTAATCCTAGCACTTTGGGAGACTGAAGTGAGAGAATTGTCTGAGTCTAGGGATTCTTGACCAGCAAGGCAACTTGGCGAGACCTTGTCTCTACAATAAATCACAAAAACTAGGCTGGTGTGCTGGCGTGCATCTGTAGTTAGAGCTTCTTGGAAGGCTGAAGCAGAAGGACTGCTTGAGCCCAGCAGGTCGAGGCTGCAGTGGCCATGAGCATGACACTGCACTCCAGTCTGGGTGGCAAAGAGTGAGACTCCAACATAAAAAAAAAAAAAAAAAAATTGCAAAACAAGAAAAAAAAATGTAAGACCCATATGCGGGAAAAGAGTAATCAACAGAAATTGCTCCTGAAGAAGCAGATATGGACTTAACTAGACAATGACTTTAAATCAGTTATTTTAAATATGGTTAAAGACCTAAAGGAAATCATATCTAAGAACTGAAGTGCAGTATGTCACCAAATAAAGACATAAAGAGGCAGAAATTATAAAAAAGGACCCAACAAAAACACTAAAATTAAAGAGTACAATAACTAAAATGAACAATTCACCAAAAAAGTCCATTCAATAGCGGAGCTGGAAAAAAGAGTGAAGCAACTAAGATAACACGTCCATTAAGACTGTGCAGTGAGAAACAGAAAGAAAAAAGTAATAACAAAAAAATGAACCATAGGACAACATCAAGATTACCAACATATGCATAATGAGAGTACAGGACAGAGAAGGGAGACACAAAAGGTCTAACACAATTTTTGAAGGAACAGTGGATAAGAGGTTCCAAAATCTGAAGGACATGATTAATCTACACACTCCAAAAGCTCAACTACAAGTAAGATATTCTTGGAGAAAGAAATCCACACCTGGATACAATATAATCAAAGTTTTAAAACAGTCAAAGACAGAGATAATCTTGAAAGCAGAAAGGGAGAAGCAACCTATCATATTCAAAGTTGATTTCAAATGAGAAACCATGAAGAACAGAAGGCAATGGGATGACATATTCAAAGTCAGCAGGACAAGAGGAGATGATGAGTCCATGGAGATGGCATCAGGGGAAGGACAGGCCAGTGGAAAGTATCACTCACAGAGAAACATTCCAGGACAGAGTGAGAAGCAGAGGCAAGTGGTGAAGAAAAGTCAAGTGAGGAAAGGATAAGACAATGCCCACCAGATTTGATTGCAATCCAGTAGGGTCAATGGAAGTCAAACACAAGTGGAAAGAAAAACCAAGGCATCACACAAACATGTGAAGTTGAACGCAAAGTGTGGAGACATCTGAAAAAGAACAGAATTTTAAATCATCTGCTAAACAACCTGAATATTATGAATACTCAGAATATTTATGGAGCGTGATTTTTAAAGACATTCAGTTGATTCATTGTAAAAATGTCTCATTTAACCCCGTGTTTGAATTCTTGAGAAGTGAGTAACGAGTGAGTTAGTGCTCAACATGACATTTTTTGCTTCTATAGAGGAAAGAGTAAAGAAAACATTCTATGCTATATAATGAGTTACCAGTAAATCACCTCCTTGTAGAACAACCATTACATCAGGTTGTCTTCATCTTTATACTTCATGAGAAATCAGTTTGCTTTATCTTTCTCATCAATGTAAACTGTTACATAATGTCTGATCCTCTGTCAAAGTAATTAAAACCACAGAAATAAAAGTGGCGCTCAATTTGGTAAATGTGCACCAGCAGAGGACCTGCATCGATCTACCCACATGCCACCTTTGCTCTCTAGTCTTCTGTATTTCTGTATCTTCAATGAATGTGTCTGACCCATCTATCTCTACTTTTTCATATTAAAATAATGATACATAAACCCATACAAAATCCTTAAAAATCCCTTATAAAAATTTGTAAAACAAACTGATTATTAAGAACCAATCTCACCTGAGCCACGTTCATTTTCTGCTGCTCCTGGAAGAGAGTAGAGGCCTGTGAAGGTTCACCTGGAGAGGAGGAAAGAACAAGGGGGTCATGAGACTTGGCCTGCCTTATAGTTCCTTTAGAGGAGTTCTCAATTATGACAATTACAATGGTTTTACTGGTATGTAATCCCAACATTATTGAGACGTGTCTGCATTCACCTGCCTAAAATTCTTATCACACCCAACTGGAGAAAAGTTTTCCCAATGGGGAATGTCACTTTGACTCTTGAAAAGGGACAGAAGGACCACACAAAGGTAGCAACACTTGAATGCATTCATCTCTGATATGAAGTCCACTTAACCTTGCATTTTTCACTGGGTGTGGTAAAAACTGTATTTTGTAAATTTAGTAACAATTTATGTTCCTTGTGACTACCTGACAAAATTGTAAAAATAATACAATAGAAAATTAACTTAACATGTTCAGGTACACAGAGGTGAAACCCTCTATCCTCATTCAACTTAATATCCCCCCAAAAAGCAACTCAGGGGGGATTAGTAAGCAAATTCTTACTGTCTTTACACCCTGAGTTAGAGCTTCCACAGAAAGTTCTAAAATAAAGTTGAAATGTTGTATAAAAGGAATATGTTTTTCAACATTTTGCTCAATAATGGTTGTTGATTCTTAAAAAAGACCTTTTGATAAGATGCTTATGACATTCACCTGTGTGTGAACAGCACCGTGCTTAGTTCCTGGGTCTGCCCAGACCTTTTGATAAGATGCTTATGACATTCACCTGTGTGTGAACAGCACCTTGCTTAGTTCCTGGGTCTGCCCTGGGTGACTTTACACAAGTCATTAATTTCAGGCCCCAAAAGAGGAGGAACCCAAAAAGCCCCAGAATTTATCTAAAAAATTGTGTACTTATTCTTACATGTTCAAACTTTAGTCACCCTCAAAGCACTCTTCGTGTGATGCAAGAAACCTATCGAGACACTTTTTCCACTGCTCAAAACAGTTTCTAGACTCATCATTTTGGTGCCTTTTAGTGCTTCTGCTGTTTTTTGTTTCACCTCTTCCACACCCAAAAGATGTTTCCCTTTGAAGACTTGTTCCCAGAGAAACAGAAAAAAGTTGCTCTGGGTGAGATCAGGTGAATAGAGAGGTTGGGGTATGGAGGTCAGGACATTTTTGGTCGAAAACTGATGAATACTCAGGACGGTGTGGGCAAGTGCACTCATAAGACACCATAATGAAATGGACAAATGTGTTGAGATAAAAAAAAAAATTATAATAACTGACGCCAAACACAGCCTCTCACAACAATGATAGCTGGTACACTGATGTTGGTTGGTTCCTAGAACACTTACCTAGTGGGAAAAGCCAGTAGTACTAAAAGGGGTCTGCCCTCCAAAAGATAACTGATGTTTTTTGGGGGGTTCTCCCTCATATTTTGGGGTTTCCAGCATAGAAAACTCCCTCCCTCTGGTATCATTTTGTTATTATCTATGTTCAAGAAAGAAGGAGTGTCAGCATAACTCTAAATGCCACA